CAGGAACTAATCGGTTCGTTCTGACAGCGGGAAACACCCAATTCAGAACGAACCGATTGGCTCCTGCAGCGACAGCTTCGCTGTAGCAACTAACTCTTGTCTGTAGCAACCAACTATTAGCTGCCACAGCAAATTTGGGATTAGCTATCCCAAAATCAGCTAATTTGTTAGTTGTGAGGACTAATTCTTTTTTCCCGTTGAGGTACAAAATTTCTTTTCCCTTTTTAATGTGTTGTCTCGAGTAGGGGCGGGGCGAATCGCGGCCTACTGGTAGGTCTCTAATTGAGAACACGCCCACGATTTATTATTAATTTTTAAAGCGAGAACGAACAGACTGGAATTGGGACTAGAAACCGGAGCAAATTTGGATCAGAACTCAAATCTTCGAAATTGACAACCACACTGCTCCAAAAAATCCTTGGTGAGATTTCAGACCATAACAAAGAAGAAAATTCGAGAAAATTACATTACATACTTGATCGGTATCGTGGTTCGGCATACACGAGGTCGGAATTATATATAAACGCAATTTCACCCTAGCGTTTAATCGTGGTGTTGAAGGTTATTTTTGCGCTGGAAAGCGCGCGGCAAGGGGTCTTTACGCCGCGGGGGCGTGGCGGGGCGTGGCGAGGTGTGGCGGGGCGGGGTGTGTACCCTCCTGCCGCACGCGATCGCGCCCCTCGCGAATCAAGCTTTCCCCCCAAAGTCACGGCTCATGGCGGCGCCAAGGCTAAGGCCGCCCCCGTCGCTACCAACCGCCGCGACCGACCACCATCGGGGAGTGAGGAGGGAGGAGGGAAGACCAAACCGCGCGCGGGATATGAAAACAAATGGTGCCGCCCCAGCCGCCGGCAGATACGGCAATAGCAAGCATAATAAGAACCCCCGTCCGCACAAAAGACGGCCCTAATTCCGTCCCGGCGACACAGCACGGCCGGGTAAAAATACACATCGGACGTACCGAAATAGGGAGGGCCCGGGAGGGCCGCTGGGGAGCCCGCGCTCCGGCGGCGGGGATCGAACCCGCCGCGCGGTACCGCCGCCGGCCAGGGCCAGAGGTCCCACACGGTGTGCGATTTATCCACATAATAAAAAAGAGCGAGTGCCGAAAATAACTTGATCAAAGCGTTCCACACGGGGGAAACCCGCGAGCAGGACACGATGCGCCCTGTTGGGTTCGAACCGATGCCGCCGTGTGTCTCCGGTAGCAGACGAGAGACAACCGTGGGGCGTGGGCTGGGCATGCTCAGAGTGTGCGAATCATGAGTATTTGTTCTTTTCTCAACGGGTTTGTTGGGTTTGTTTCAGTTTCAGCTTCCAAAGGGATGGAGAGGGCGGGGCAAGAGGAGGGAGTGGCGGGGGGCGGGGGGCTTGAGTGGTGTTCATGAGGAGGGGAAGGGAGAGGAGAGAGGGGGCGCCAGGGTGAGAAGTGGGCCCGCGGAGCTCAACAGCAATTAGCACGCACGCCGCACGCGACCAGAAAGGGAAAGGCGGGGCGGGGCGGGGCGGAGAGCGACCTTTCTTTCATTCTCTCACTCTCCGCAACGCTTACAAACCTGACGACGTCTGTCGGCCGCTTTCGGCTGTCCCCCACAATTATTTGCAGTCGTACACTGGAAAAACTAATGTGGACACAATTTGTGTGACCAGTTTTCGTCACACCACGTAACGTGACTAAAAATGCGGTCACACTACACATGCGACATTAAGCAAAGGACGTCACTCTAGTACCTAACTTTTGATCGCTCACTAAAGGACCCGCATCGCTCGCTACGATAACAACCCCTCTCGCTCGAGATAATGACCCCACCAGCTCGTGGTAACAACCCCTCTCGCTCGTGGTAACAACTCCACGGGCTCGTGGTAACAACCACACCGGCTCGGGGTAACAACCGTAACAACCCCTCTCGCTCGTGGTAACAACCCCTCTCGCTCGTGGTAACAACCCCTCTCGCTCGTGGTAACAACTCCACGGGCTCGTGGTAACAACCACACCGGCTAGGGGTAACAACCACAACAACCACACCGGCTCGTAGTAACAACCCCTCTCGCTCGTGGTAACAACCCCTCTCGCTCGTGGTAACAACCCCTCTCGCTCGCTCCAGGGCGCGCGGCGCACACGCCACGGCGCGGGTCGTGGACTTCCCAATCGGAGGGGAGGCAGGTGAGTCACAGAGCCGGCCGGGCCGAGGGGCGAACCGTCATGGTGGTGGGCCGCGGGCCGCAGGCGGGCCTGAGCCTCGGCTTGAGCCGAGCCCGTTCGAATAAAACCGACGGACGGAGCAGGGCAGGGGGCCGCCGCCGCCGGGGCCGGGCCCCACCGATACGGGGGGATAAATTATTGAAGCGCGCACGAGCGGCCTCGCTCCTTCTCCCTCGTACACACAGAGAAGCCACTTCACCCCCCCTCGCTCTCTCTAAACCCTCTCGAGTGAAGCGCGCGCGCCTGACGGCGCTAAAGCAATTGCAGCTCGCCCCGCCCCCGATCCTTCGCCGCCACACGGAAGCGGAACACTGCTAACGTTTCCCACACGGTATGGACCTGGGCCTGGGCGTGCTTGGTCTTCAAGCAATTATTTTACTTCGCACTCCAAGCAAACCTTGGTAATTTCCAAGCAGAATGCGGGCTCTGCTTGGAAACCATGCAGAACTGCTTGGAAGGGAGAGCGTAGAATCTGCTTGAAGGCGATGGCGCAACTGTTTGGAAACCAAGCAGAGTCCGCATTATGCTTGCAAAGTATAATATACTGCTTGGAGCGCAAAATATGTAACTGTTTCAAAACCGAAAAAAAAGACGGAGCCTAGGACACTATGTGGGTTACCCGGAGTAATTCCAACAGTCAGTTAAACATGACTTAGAATATACCAAAAAGTCATAATGACAAACATGACTTCCATACATTTTGGATTACCACGATATGCTCCAGCTGACCCTCCTTGTAAATTCTTCTACATCGAGAAAACTTGACGACCACTTTTCAAGCAAAATGAAAGAGGCTGCCGCTGCTGTTTCTGTAGCGTGACGAGGAGCGAGCGACGACGCTGTGCCACTCCAATCACTTCGCACCCGGGGGCAGGTGGCGCGGGCGACGTAAAAAAAAGGGAGGAAAAGTGAAGGAGTAAAAAAAATATGCAGAGCGAAACCCGTCGTCGCGGAGCACGGCTAGGCGCGGCCCTGCTCGTAACCGAGCACCTTCACTCTCATTTCTCGTTATAGTGAAGTCGTCTCTGGGTTATGGGGTTAGGCCCTGCCTGGGCAGGCTGCTGGCGGTGGGTGGCAGGTGTGGGTCGGCCCCGACCCGGCCAGGCAGGCACCCAGTTCCTTTGGGGTGAACACTGTACTGGAGCACCTGGGTCGGGAGGGGGGGGGGGGGGGGGCGCAAGTGGGTCACATCCAATGGAAACAAACACGGGGCGCCGCCGCCGCACCCCTCCAATGCAAGTCAGCGGGAATCCCACCCACCCCCTATAGGGTGCCGCCACGCCCACCCCCCGCGCCGCCCCCGCCGCCCCCGCCGCGCGGCCACGGGCTCCCGCGACACTATACGGCGGCCTGCGGATCACAACAGTAACAGAACTGTAAACTGAGTTCAACGACGACGACGAACTGTTGAGGAGAGGTTCGCCAGGAAGTCGCTCAAGGCCCTGGCCCTCAAGAGGAACTATTTCGGTGCGCGCACGCTGCACCCGCCTGCAGGCGGTGGCCGAGCCTGCAGCGGCAGCAGCGGCGGTGGTGGCCCTTGCCCTACCCGCCCCCCGCCCCACCGCACAGTGCCACACGCAGATTTATAGCCGCTGGTCGAGGTCCATACGGTCCGAAATATAACCGATCGGATACGCAGCCGCGACAGCAGACGCAGAGGGGGGACACGACGGGGCAATAGCGGACGGGGCATCCGGCGCGCGCGGGCGGCAGGGCCGGCGGCGGCGTGGAGGGACTCGCGAACGGGCACCACCGTACTCACCCCTTAAAGGACTTCACTGCAGAGTCCAGGCTGGTCGGCACGACACGCGCGAGCACGATGGGTATGGGGCGGCCGCGGGGCGGTTCAACAACTCGACGGTCTGGAGGAGCGCGCCGGTGCGGACGGGCTGGACGGGGGCGGGCCGCGGTCGGAGGCGGCTAGCAGGCGTCCCTCGCTGCGACCATGCCTTCCCTTGCCCCGCTTTCACTGGACTAGGCTCCATGCAGCAGCCACCGTGCTCCGAGCAGCTCCCGGGGCCCCCGCCCCCGCGCGCGCGCCCGCCCTGGGGGGCGGGGGCGGGGGTGCGACAAGTGTGGAGCCCCCGCAGCCCCCCCACCCGGCCAAGCCGCAGGGGGTCGCAGCCCCCAGCAGCCCCCGTGCGCACCCCCTCCTCCCTCCCCGGGCCCCCTACCCCCGACGTAGCCGGCTGACCCAATTTCACTGCGCGGAACGGTGGTGTCCGGGGTAGCGGAGTAGGCCACGGGGTGGCGGCTGGCGGGCGGCCCGCGCCCCGCGCCCGGCTGGCTGGGCTGGCCGGGCTGGGTCACTCCAGCAGACTGGTACGCGGGTACCACCCACCCCCGTAAGGAGTGCCGCCCACCCTCGTAGGCCCTCCAACCACCCTCGAAGGCGTGCCGCCCCCGCCAATGCCACAGGCGTGCCATCGACACAAAGAAAACACAACTTGGGTGACAAACAACTATTTGAGGGGACAACCCACGGTTTGATGGTGCCTGTGTGTTCACATACTGCCATTTGCAAATTGTGAGAACACAGCTTTAGATAAATTTCTGTGAAGCAACAGAAAGCTCTTCGGTCCTTGCTTGCTGCCTACCCACCTACTTGGGAACACATACAATTTTTGGAATAGTTCGCGATGAAATATCTATGCTTACATCACAGCACTGTTCAAAGCACAAACCCACCCAATTGAATTAAACTAATTTCGTCATTTAGATAAATATAAAAGTATTGGACAAATAAATCAAACCAAATTTTGGAGAGTTGATCTGTATAATAACATAAGACACTCACCGTTCAGCTCCAAAGAAGTGAGCGTTGGCTGCCTTTCAACAACCAATTACATCTGCAAGAAGTAAAGTTGACAATCAGAACTATAAACGATTTTCAGACACATATAAATGAAAGACACAATTGGAACGGTATTGTTCATTTTAACAAAAATGATTAACATTTCATGATAACACTGAAACAGTTTCCAACCTCACATTTTATGGTACTTTTTCATAAGCAGCTCATTGGAAAGTAAATATAGAATGCATAACAGGTAGAACAGGGGGAAACATTAATAATAGTACAAACAATCACTGAAGGAGCTTGTGAACTAGTGCGTAACTGAACATGAATGACAACAAATTTTCTTGGAGAGAGATTAAGCAGCTACGACACAAAGTTAAAGCACTTAACAATTTTTGGTAAGCCACTATACAGCAAGTTCGATCAAATTAGAATTAAAAGCATCTTAAAATAGGGATTAATGTAAAGATTGAAGCAGCTCTAGCCTTAGTGGACAGTTCTGTGCAGACAAAGGTTTACAAACACATACTGACAGAGGGCGAGAATCGGGCAAAGGAGGAGACGAGTTCAAATGACACAGCATCGGGGAATACCCCTGAGCGTTCCGGTCTCCAGTAAAGAGGGTGCAAGCCAAACTCTGAGCAGACGTTGTCCGCCAGACAAGGGGTAGCCATGTTACACGCTCACCAGGTAGGCTCGCCCCCGACTTGTTCTTACCTTCTCCTGTCGGCTGAGATGGTAATGATGCCGAAGGTTGCGCCCGCAGCCACGGGCGAACTTGCACACAAACAATAACTTCGCAATCTTCAATTTAAAAAAACACTACGAATGCTCCACTCACACAATGAAGAGCAACGGCCGCAACAGAGCTAATTTTAACTACAAACTCAAATCACCTTTTCCTACCTGATCGGCAAGTGTTTTTGTTTTTAGTACAGCCGTGCACCGCATAGCGGCGCTGGGGTTAGTGACGTTCAGAAGCTAGGCAAGTCTTCTAGGACCAAAATTGACCACGTCTAATAAATAAGTCTAAAAGTCTTGCTACACTGAGCGTCTGTCCGATAAACGTGACTCTCCAAACGCGTGATTGGTCGGTTTCCGCGTCGTCTGTCATCTGTTTTGCTTCATGTTGAAAGTTGGGTGTTGGAGCAACTGCTGATGACGTACATATATTTAACCTGTTTTCTGTATCTGTCACTCCAGGTAAATGTCATTTAAATTGTGTCTACTTCAATTGTTGATTTGCATTGTAAAACCTGTGGAATACCATTGAGTAGAAGTACATTCGTGTCTTTCTATGCAACTGTCAGTATATCGTCCCAGCTGGGTAGCTTGACCCCAGTAAGCTAGATTGCCATACCCACCTCACTTTACACAGCCTACCCCCACCACGCGCGCCGGCCCATGCGCGAGCCCGATGCGCGGCGGCTGCAGAGTCAAGTCGCTGGTGGCTGATCAGCACTTAGAATTCAGCTGTAAATGATGCTCAAATTTAGTTTTCTAAACTTGTTCGGGATTTTTGCGGAATATACTTAATTGTGGAGGATGATCCAGTGTAGAATGTCCAGTTGTGGATCAAGTTTGATCGTTGTCAATTCACTTAAATATCAATTTAGCTAGATCAAGTTCATTGTGCGATTCTGGTATCTTGTTCACCTCTTGAAAAGTAAAACGTATTATGTATAATGCTTGCAGCAGTTATCTCCTTACGCAGCATACTGAGGCATTGGATGGAGACGTAATGGGAATAATATATTAATTTATTTTCTTATCCACCAATCATCTAGTTGTTTCATTGGATATAAACTTGTGTTTCTTTCCGTTTTCTTTCTGGCACACTGTATATCACTGCCACTGCTGCCACTATTAATTAAGTTAAAAAATTGCTGCCTCTGGATTTTACTGTCTACTATACATCCTACTACTATTGATATAGTAGAAGGGTGTAATACACTGGCAACTCGTTGCCTGTAAAATATTTCTCATGATATGATTTATACAATGTATTTCTAACAAATAATTTTACAAAGACTAATACTACACCTTTCAAAATTTTTCTTTAAATGGTCTTAGACCAAGTTAACACAAATTCATCTAAGTGATGTCAATGATTCACTTTTACTTTACTGCTATATTTCTAACAAGAAATTATCATTTTTTTTGAGGAAATAAGCAAAAACAAAGATGACGTGATGCTTTTGATGCTTTTGTTCCAAGGTGAGCAAACAAACAGCAATATTCAACATCTTTACGTGACAGTGGTGGGACAAGAAGATTGGAAACATTTTGTAAATTATTTCCCCAAAATAATTAAGCCTCATACAAAGTGGAGAGATATTGCAAACAACAGAAAACTGAGAAAACAATTTTTTTCTTCATAAAGATGCAACTGACATCATTGTTTATCCTAGCTACACGGTTTAAACTGACACATAGTGGCTGTATCACCAGATGCAAATCAACAGAACAGTGAACAGAGTACCAAATGCATTTTGCGCAAACGTGCGAATTGTTAAGCAAAACCAAATCTTTTGATTGGTATTTTTTTTTAAAAAACGCAGTTGGATTTGAAAATTCAAAATTTCATCCATATTTAAATATGTTGGTCTTTTAACAGTTAATTTGCTTATTGTGATACGGCCAAAATTTGCCAGAGAAAAGCGAAATAGTCTGGCACATATTATTGACCTCTTTCAAAATATGATTCCTTGCATGCGATCAAAAAATATTTTTATGCATCATTTCCTTTCACTTTTTTTTTTTTACCATGGGCGTTGCTTCTGAAAGCAATTGCATATGGAATGGTCCTTACAATGTCAAATCAACTGATCCATATTAGTTTGTTGAGATGAGATGGATTCTTGGTAATATTTTTACACATATTTGCAAGATTGACAACAAACAAACTTTGCCTACAACTGGACATCCGACTCTGAACCATCCTCCGCAATTAAGCAAATTCCTCAAAAATCCCCCCAAAATTCAGAAAATTAAATTTTAGCAGCTGCTGCTTGAGTGCTAAGTGCTGATCAGCCGCCAGCGACTTGGCGCTGCAACGCCGCCGCGCATCGAGCTCGCGCATGGGCCGGCGCACGTGGTGGGGGTAGGCTGTGTAAAGTGAGGTGGGTATGGCAATCTAGCCCCCAGTAAGCCTAACCTGATCAAGGCTGGCTTTACTTGTCAATTTTTTTTATGTAAGCTGAGCATTTTGTAAAACGAGTCAACGAAGCTTTCTCTAATCCATCGCGCTAAATTCAATATTTAATATTGCTCGGCTCTATTTTCGTCAAATTTGTTGCATTTCATTTACAAGGTTATGAATGGTGTTCCATCAACTTTCAGTGTTACTGAGAATTTTTAACATTTAATAATGAGTCTTTATGAAATTTGTCTGTAATACTATGCTCAACCTCAATCTTTTTTCAGATCTTTAGTTCATAATCTGTACATATGAACCAATGACTGCAAGACGACGAAGAGGGGGCTCAGAATCGGAACAGTCCCCAATTATTGTAACTGGTGGAGCTTCCTATGCTGGTAGTGGTTCTGGATTCTCTTCTGTGTATCGAGATGATGACTCCGGGAGCATAGACGGTGCTTCTTTTGGTAACGGTGCTGTTCCTGCATTTAATCCAACCATGACATCACGGGATAGAACTAATGAATTTGCAAGTGCTGTGAGGTCCTTGCAAGGGCGACAAATCATTCATGCAGCACAAGCCAGAGATCCAAGAAAAGCTAGGCATATCCAAAGCTATGCTGAGTTTATGATGATTGCAAGAACTATTGGGAAAAATATCAGTAGTACCTACTCCAAGCTTGAAAAACTCACACTGCGTATGTACTTATAGACTCCTAAATTTTTCACCTTTTTTTATTTAATTTGAAAAAATTTGCACTTTAAATCTTCTCACAGATCCAGGAAAATAATGTAAATATGTTTCTTTGCAGTTGCCAAACGTAAGTCTCTATTTAATGATAGGCCCACTGAAATTCAAGAATTGACCTATATTATCAAAGAAGATCTGAGTAGTCTTAATGGACAAATTGCAAGACTTCAAGAAGTTGCGCGCAGTCAACGTAGAGCCCAGCAAACAGGGAGAGCGCATTTATTATCTCACTCTTCCAGTGTAGTCCTAGCTCTTCAATCTAAACTTGCATCCATGTCCTCAGAATTCAAGAATGTTCTAGAAGTTAGAACTGAGGTGAGTCCCCTTTCCTGCTCTCTATCGCTTCCTCTACTCTATTGTCTTTATATTTCTTTTTCCAAGGATGTCCCTAAGTATTTTGTGTTTCCAGAATTTAAAACAACAAAAAAGCAGGAGAGACCAATTCTCTCAAGGACCAGTTTCCAGCTCTCTTCCTCCCTCAGCACTCTCTGGACACCATCATGGGTCTGTTTTGCTGGCTGAAGAGCAAGTGGCTATTGATATGGATGATAGAAGTCCCTTACTTCCCCCCACTCAAAAACAAGCCCTTATATATGATGAAACGGTAAATATTGTTAATATATTTGCTCATTGTCACATAGCTTGTTACTGGAAATCTAAGTCTTTTCTCTCTCTTCAGGATAATTATTTACAAAGCCGTGCAGAAACCATGCAAAATATAGAATCCACTGTAGTTGAGCTAGGTGGAATTTTTGCACAGCTTGCAACCATGGTAAAAGAGCAAGAAGAAATGGTTGAAAGGTAAGGAAAAATGCCCTTCTTCTTGTCAAGTACCAATGTCTTTTTACTCTAAGAGATTTTTATTTTATTTTTCTACACAGAATTGATGCTAATGTGCAAGATGCTGAACTGAATGTTGAGGCAGCTCACGGTGAAATCTTGAGGTACTTCCAATCAGTAACATCAAACCGTTGGCTAATGATAAAAATATTTGCAGTTCTCATATTTTTCTTTATATTCTTTGTTGTATTCTTAGCTTGATTTTGTTCTATATATGTAAATTCTCATGCCATGCTTTATGAATTCAATAAGAAATTTGCTCAGTTACCAGTAGTTTCCTAGTTCTTGCTTCATGGTTATTTCAGTTTTGTAGCCAAATTATTTTTGGTTTTGAATGACACTGTTCAGTCAAAATCAGATCACTGACAAAAATTCTGAACTGCTATTTTTATTTAGAATTTTTTCCTCCTATCCTATATCTCAATCTATTTATGAAAAAGTCTGTTTACCTTTTACATGGTTGTAGAATTTTTCAAAAGAACTTTCTATCTTAATTATATCTGAACCATATTTAATCTGGTGTCTGTTGAACTTGTGTCTTATCTCGTATTTTTAAATCCAAGTTATATTTTTGTAAATGCTTGATCATTTATAGAGAATAGCTTACCTAAGAGCATCTACTTGTATTGTCCTTGCCTGGAACATTTATACCGTCTGTGGATCCTTAAATTGGTTGCTTTGTGTTTTATTGGAAATATGAAACAGCTTTAAAGCTCTGAACCCTTGTAAGTGTAATATTAATGACCATTCCATATCCAATTTGCTTTTCATTGATAATACCTGTAATATTAATGCTCTCTTTGAAGTAGAAATTACATACCGGTACTTACCAAATTACATTTTTAATAAGATTTTGGGGAGAGTAAGTATCCTCTTCAACATCTTATGCGCCTCAAGTCTGTGCCAAGAGTAGCCGTCAATTTTCTCTGTCCAGATGAAGTAAAAGCTAACCAAGAAAACTTTTATCGTAATGAAATCATTGCATCATATTTGGAAGACTGAAAGATGTAGACAGTCGTTGGTCCAAGCTGACATTTTTTTTAGTGAAATTGAGTGTTTTGTTTGTATAAGCAATTCTTTTTGAAACAGTTTGTTGAAGACTGCTGCATTACTTTTTAAGAAATTTGGTGATAGGGTGCAGCAAGCACAATCCTTGGTGAAATTTAGTGATACTTATGAGGCTGTTCCATAAATAATGTTGTTTGTATACTCAGCTGGGCTGAACTTTTTAAAATGTGTATTGCAAATCCTATGTTCATACATTTTGCAGCAGGTCTTAACTTTATCTGAGTTTGTTTACTATATCATATTGTGCATTTGTCATTTGTTCATACTGGGGCCTCACGTGTTAAAGGATAAGAGATATTATTGTTGAGTAAAATGCACTTTACTAGAGAAACTTTGTCAACTCCTTTATTAGTGCCACCCTACAAAGATTCCCTCTTCTCTCTCTCTGTTTTTTTTTTTTAACCATGTGGCATGATATGTCTTGCCACATAATCAGTCGTATTTTTATTTCAGACACATTTTGTTTAGAAATAGTAAAATTTTGCCTTTTTAATTTGGTATTGGTAGAAAACAAATGACTGTATTGTTAAGTAATGTCAGGTCGAGATCAGCTGTAAAGTCAACCTGCTTTCTCAGCTGTCTCCTGAAAATACAGAAAAGCTTTACTGTAATGTATTGACTTATTTTTATAGTAAAGGTGGAGTGTTGCAGAAAGATGCTGCCCTTATAAGCAATGCATTGCATAGGTTCCAATGACATGACATAACGCAAATCTCTGTTGTCTCAATCCAGTTTGTTCTTAATTGGTTACATGTAGTACAAAATTTCATAAATAACATCATCTATGTCAACTTCATTCAAGTAATGGGTGGCTGATTCGCATTCGCCCCGCCCACTTTCGTCATTAGAATGTACCTACTGGTACCGCCCGCACGTGCGACGTGCGGTACAATATAACTTTGAAAGTGGAAGGGGCGAATCAGCCACCTGATACATATTTACAATCTTCTTTATCATAGCCCCACAGAGGTTCTATGAAGTTTACATTTCTCTGCAAAATCAGTATCTAGTGTTCCTCTTTGGAATACCATTCTTACATCTATAACGCACTTGTTTTTTCTACCTTTGGTTTTAAACTATTGTCAATGATTTGTGAATATGTGAGTACCATTCAGATTGAAGCTAAGCATAGGGAGTTTTAGACAACAAATAATATCCAAAGCATAGTATTTGATCCATACATCTGTAGTACCATTCAAAAGAAATTCTAAAGCAAACCATCAATTTTTAATTTAGGTAGAAACCTCCATAAAACAAAACAAACAAATACAAAACATTTACAGGTTACATACAACATTAAAGCTAGTGGAATACATAACAAAGTCATAATAGTACTTTGTTATAATTACAAAATTATTTAAATATCATTCAGTCGTTGGGATGAATTCCAAGCTTAAGAGGAATGTCAGAAGTAAAGGTCTTTGCAGGGATATTTTTTTTTTCAACCTCTGATCAGAGGCAAAAAAAATTCTCTTTACGTCATAGGTTTGCAAACCCCTAATTTTCTTTCAATATGGAATAAGTTTACCCATAAAAGAGAGATAGCATACAGCTTATAGGTCACCGATTACTTTTTATCAATTTCTTTGTTGAAAATATGAAAATGTTGACATCCTTTCAGTAGCTGAGCTGTATCTTTACACTACACTCACTACCTCGGCCTTCGTATAACATAGAATAATCATTTTTGTGTCCAGCGAATCACAAAGAGTATCGCAGTTTGGAATGGGTGTGAGACCTCTCTCTGGTCACACCCAAACATTAGACTAGAATTGAACACTGTCACCTACGCACGCCGGCGAAGGCAAGATCTCACTGGGTCAGGCCACAAAAATAGGAATTTATTGTCCTATGAGGAACGATGAATTCCCCCTCCAGTACAGACATGTAGGTCCCTCACAGGTACATCCCGTTGACCAAGTAGTCAGCGTCGTGGGCGTACGAGGACTGGCCGCCCCTGCGCAGCAATCTCCTCTTGATCATTCGAACTCTGCAGACGATTACCACCACCATGAAGGAGGTGAGCACCATTCCTGTGACAGTGAAATCATGTCATGAGTATACTCAAGCGAACCAGCCTCAGTCGGTCGGTGTTAGGGGGACGGCTCATGGTACTTTACCTAGAACAAGTGAAATGACGGCCCCCTTGGGACTGACAGTTGGTCCGTCAGTCACGTCCACCAGAGCGGCCTGCTCCAGACTCAGGCTGCCGTCCGACCCCAAGGACGGCGTCAAGCCGTTCATCTTCTTGCTTCCACTCTGCGTCGTCGTCGGTTTCGGGTGGGCCCCTTCGCTCTTGTTTTTCGTCGGCGTTTCGCCTACCAAACGAAAAACTGTTATAAACGAGAAATTCCTACAACTTCCTCGGCGCTTGAGAGACTGTCTGCTCACCTGATGGTTTGACTGTGACCGGTGTCACGGGGGGCAAGGTGGATTTGTCAGCTGGCTTAGCGTGCTCCAGCTGCTTTTTGACGGAGTTTGGTTTGTCCTGGGGCCGCGGGCGCAGGGTGGGGACCGGGGCCCCAGGGGCGGTGGAGGCCGCCGGGGAGGCAGTAGGGGCGACTCCGTCCTCCCGCGGGGCCTGTGCGGTGGCGGAGAGGGAGGCGGCCGGGCGCTGGAACGCGGGGGGCGCCTGCGGGTGCTGCTGTTGCTGCTGGTGCTGCTGTTGCACAGGTTGCTGTGGCAGCTGCCTCTCGTACGGCACGGAGGTGAGGTCCGCCTCCAGTCGGCGGCTGCTGTCGTCCGGAGACACCTGCAGTCCCTGCTGGGCAAGGCAAACGGTGGCCGTCAGTCGGCTGGCCTCCTCAGGTCAGCCTGCCCGACCGGACCCGCCTGGCGCCTGCGGGCTAGGCAGCCCCCGCGCCGCCGCACACGCGTGTCGTGCGGGGCGGCCCACCCTACCGCCGCCAGGCGCTCACCCCCGCCTACCACACAGAGCCCCGCCAGCTTACCAGGCGGCCGATGTTCCCGATCTGGAGGCGGCTCTCGGACCCGCCGTCCTCGTAGAAGTAGTCCGGCTGGGCGCCGTACTGGCCGCCGTACGCCGGGGAGCCCCGCTGCGGCCCGCCGATGGGTCCGCCCGTCCGGAGCGGAGGGTAGTCATCTGTAACACGGGAAGTAATAAAAAGACTTGTTCGTTCAGAGGGACTGTGTGAGTTACTCTCTGTTTTGGGGAGCGGCGTAGACACTGCCTTGGACCTACCCGAGGGCCTGCCGCTGGCCGCTCCCTGGCCGTAGTACTGACCCGCGGCGCCGCCGGGCCCTCTGAGGCCGTCGCCGTAGCTCGCCGCCCTGGGGGACAGATACATACAGGTGGGTGTTAGGCGCGTGAGAATCGCCAGGGTACCTACAGCTGGCGCTAGCGCGGGCCAGGGCTCTTCCAGACTCACCCCGTGTTCTGCACGTCGTCGCCAAACATCTGGTGGGGGTGGTTGTGGTGGTAGTGATCCGAATCTAGCACTCCGCCCTTGTGGGTGAATATGTGGCTGTTGTGTTCCACTGTGACAGAGAGATTATTTCACTGGTCTTCAACAGTTCAGTGAGTTTCATCAAGAACGTTTGGGAAAAGAAAACAGTGATGGTACCTCCGGGCCGGTAGGGGTTAGCGCTGCTGTCCCACTGGTTCACCGCGCCGTGGACGGCTCCAGGCACTCCGGCACGCTGGAACATCTGCTGCTGTTGTTGTTGCAGCTGCTGTTGTTGCTGCTGTTGCAGAAAGAGTTGCTGCTGCTGCAGAAGCAGCTGCTGTTGCTGTTGCTGCTGCTGCAGCGCAGCAGTTAGGATGTCCTGCTGTTGCTGAGGCTGCTGCTGCACCTGTTGATACAAAATTGTCATTGAAAAACAAATATTTTCAGTAAATGTTTAGATTTTTGCGGGGGGGGGACTTGGTACGCACCTGCAACTGCTGTTCTTGCTCGGGCTGGGAGGGCACTCGCGGGAACTGCTGTGGGAGTTCCACCTGCTTCGGGGCTGACGGTGCGTTCCCCACTTCTTGAAAATAGAGAAAGGAAAGAAACACAATTATGATTTGAAAAATTCTAGAGACGCGACGACGCAACATGACACAAATTGAGTGCGTTACCAGCTTGGTGGGACGTGTGGAGATTGGGCACTAGCCCTTGCATCCTTCCCGAGCCGCCACTGGCGGGCTGCTGCAGCTGCCCCAGCTGGTCCGACAGGGACAGCTGCTTTGACTCCTGGCCCTGGGGCACCTGCGGGAACTGCTTTTGTTCCTGCAGCTGTGGGGGGTGCTGAGCCGCGTGGACGGTCTGCTGCTGCTGAGGCTGCTGCAGTGTCTGCGCCCAGTTGCGGTACGCGTTGTAGGCACTCAACCCCTGGTCCTGTTGTTGTTGTTGCTGTTGTTGTTGTAGTTGTTGTGATGGTGGTGGTTGTTGTTGTTGCTGCTGCTGCTGTTGTTGCTGTTGTTGCTGCTGTTGTTGTTGTTGTTGCTGCTGTTGTTGTTGCTGCTGCTGCCGTTGTTGCTGTTGTTGTATCTGCATCTGAAGCTGTTGCTGAAGCTGCTGTTGCAGTTGCTGTTGTTGCGGTTGTTGCGGCTGCGACAGGAGCGAGGTGGACTGCGGCTGCAGACGAGACGCAAGACGACAAAAAGAATAATAATTATGGACTGTGGCCAACAGGCCATAGGTCACCAGGCTGAAGCAGGGAACGAGGGACTCACCTTCGCGTCTGCCATGGGCATGCCCTGGCCACCCTGCAGGAGACCCTGCTGTTGCTGCTGTTGCTGCTGCTGTTGCTGCTGCTGTTGCTGCTGTTGCTTTTGGAGCTGGTAGTGCTGCTCGCGGAGCTCCATCAGCTCTTGAGCGTGTACGTGCGAGTCCGCCATCTCCTCCCCCACAGACACCTATTCACCATGTGGCACATGTAAAAAAAATGTATGCATAGAAAATAAAATGAAACTGTATTGGCACCTGATGGCGGTACTTGATCCCATGAACGTTTGATCCGGCCGACCCACCTTGAGGCTGACGCTTGGCCCGGAGCCAGCGCTCTGCATTCTGGACTGACCGAAGCCAGTGGGGTCGCTGTCGTGGGTCAGCAAGGCGGGGGCGGCCGCGACTAGAGTTGAGTTGAGAGAGTGTTTTTAATAGTACCGCAGAACCAAATGTTAATAACAGCTAAATATGCAAACAAAATATGTGAACAATATTTATTTTGCTTTTTCTTTTTTGATGACTGTAAATATAAAAGTTGTAAACGGCTACCCCACCACCGGGGTATGCCTATCCTCCCGAGCCATGCCTTACACATCACATACCTGTGCAATTAGTCTCGTCCGAGTTGTCGCTGCACTGGGGGATGGTGTCGCACACGTTGTAGATGCCGATGCACTCCACGGTGGCCGTGTGGCGGCAGCGGAACTGGAACTCGGAGCAGGGCGACGACGCTCCTCCTGCAACACAAAAGACGGCCGGTGAGTCTCTTCCTTCTCGACGCGGCCAGGCCGACCTCTCTGCACAGCACACCCGCACAATCACGCTCCTAAACGACCCCTAAACGTCGCCGCGATCGCCCCGCCCCGCCCGGCCACGCCGCGCGGTGTTTTGGTCGGGTGGTTCGACCGCGAGACCACGTGACCTCGTTTGTGTGTTCCCTCGTCATCCCGGCGCTCCCCCCCCCCCTCCCCTCTCTCCGCCTCCTTTCTCCTGGTGAGCCTTCGGCGCCGCGCGCTTTGCAGCGGTCCCAGAGCTTTTATAATCGCAATAATAAGTAGTACCAGATTTCCAGTCTGCTTCAGCAGGCCCCAGCGAACAGCATCGTCTTCACAGAGACCCCTTCTTTATACGCGCGAGGAATACGCCCAGCCAGTGTCCAGGTGCACATCCCAGCCGTTTTGGAGCGAGAGAGTTCCCAGGTCCTGGAGTCTACTTCCACACCACCCGACCCATCTCTTTCTCTCTCTCTCCACCTCTCTGTCTTTCGCCCGTGCGCGTTCCGTACCGTGTTCACTTCCAGGCGCCCCCCCCCCTCTCCCCAACCAACCTCTCCGGCCCCTTCCAGCAGCGGCGCTGCAGCCTGCTTTCTGCGCACGACTTTGACCTTCCCGCGGCCCAGCCGACCGCCTTACGTCCAAATAATAAGGTCCCAGATGGGAAACAAGGATTTTGTGCGCTGGGGGAGAAAAGGAGAGGGGGGGAGGAGGAGATAGAGAAGAGAGCGCGCTGCGCGGGGCCCGGCGGCGTGCCTTGCAAAGGCCGCGCGGAGCGCAGCGCCGCATAGAGGGTTGCTCAATTAAGTATTCCCGGACTCTATCCCGCCCGTGCCAAGCCAACTGGACAAACGGACGGGGCGGAGCCGTCCTCTCCTATCGAACTCTGTCACATAACCGCATTCAGCAACATCACTACTTCTGGGTCTGGGTGTGGATGGGCATACTGATAAAGAAGGGGGGGGGGGGTCGTTGCCGTAGTGTTGGACAAATGAATCAATTGATAAAGCTTCAGCGCTTATTGAATTTCTGAAACGAATGAATGGAAAGATGGCTCGTACACCGAGAGTAGTGCGTGAAGACGAGGGAAAGGCTCTAGCAACCATCGAATGTTTATCTCAATGACAACCATAATAATATTATGCTTACAAAATTAACAATCATACAGTTATCCGCAGTTACCAGAACCATCAACACATTTTAGTTCTCACAGCCACTTTGATGTTGCCTCAACCATCACTTTTTGGCTGACCCCCGATGGCTTCTACAGCCACCCATTTTTCTGGGTGTGTACAAATTCGAGCTAACATAAATAAAAATCCTATCGTTTCGAAAACTTAGTTTGTTTCTCCGGCGGTAGTTCAGAAACCACCGCAAAGCTCGTGCTTTTGGGCGTTGTCTGTTCTCCCGCGCGCAACTCTCGCCCCCCAGTTTACATTTTAATCATTTTCCAGAGTGCGCGCGGCCCGCCCCGCCCCGAATAGCGTGGGACTGCATCGCCCGCGCCCGCCCCGCCAGGCGCCGCCAGGCCAGGCCTTGGACAACCTTGAGGCGCACCGCTTCGCGAAATCAAGGCGAAACGGGTGGGTTGATTCTGACGGCGCGCGGCGGGGCGGGGCGGGGAGGGGTAAGGCGGGGCATTTGGACGGTGGACAGCAGGGCAATTAGCCGAAAGGGAAGCAGAGTAACGCAATCGGCAGACCGACAGACCGCCCGAGCCGAGCTCGGTGCAGCTGCAGCGCCTGCCAGAACGACATCGCGGGGGGAGCGCGGGGTGCGCGTCTGGCTGGGGCCGTCCGGAGCTGCAGCAGCAGCGGCGGGCTTGCGGGCTGGAGGGGGGAGATCGAGATCGAGATCGGGCGATTAAGCAGCCTCTCTAGGCGAGCGATCCCACGGGAGTCATTATATGACGAGCTTTGCCAACAGTTTAGCGAACGAGACCCGCTGCTGCTGCTGATGCTGCGGTGCGGTGCATTCCGCCGGCAATTAACGGCGGAGCAGTGCTCGGCATCGTGCCGCCGCCACAACACCTCGCGCCACGGCCAGGTGCAGCGGGCGAGCCAGCTGCAGGTGGGGCAACCCGACCTGCACCTGCAGCGGCAACGTCAGCAGCGGCGGCGCCGAGGTGTGAACCGCGACCGGCCGAGTACTGAGAAGCGGGGCAGGGTGAAGCAGTATATATGAGGCAATATGGATGGAATGGCGCCTGCCCGGCCGCCGCCGGTCCCGGCGGGGCGCGGGCGGCACGCAGCGCAGCTGCAGCTGCAGCTCGTCGGGGGCCCTGTCGAGTGCCGAGCATGGATTCGACGGCTGCCCTGCCCTGCCCTGAGATCGCGGGCTGAGACGGCTGTTGACCCCGCCACCACACCGGTGCCGCCCCCCCTCCCCCCTCCCGCTCAGTCGCCGTCGTTGTCGCCATGCTAAACTCGCGGACCGGACCGGAGTTTCCGCCGGAAGTCTCTTTCTCTCTCTCGTGGAGCCGCGGCAGCTGTCGCTTCCGGCGCCGTGGAGACAGAGCTCTGGGCCGGAGGGCCGGTGGACCCGCACCCCGCCGCCCCGCTCAGGACGTCCGTCCTGTGTTTGTGTTGCCGCTGTGCCGTAGCCGCCCGCCGGCCGCACTAGGAAGGAGCCGATTCGCTGTGGAGGGGCATGACCCTAGGACTGAGGCGTCTCTGCGCTGGCAGGGTGGGCATGACCCTCACCCTTGGACAGCGGCTGACCCCCAAGGAAAGAGATGTCGTGAGGTGTGGCGTCGGCGGAGATTAAAGGCGACTGTCCGCAGTCGGCGGCAAAAGCGGCAATGGGGGAGCGAGGAGCGAGGGACTACTGCAGTAACTGGAGATGTTGTAGATTTTTTTCGAGAGTTATTAAAAGAAGAAAATGTTACTCGGGTCGTTAAAATATACATGAAACTGCTGCACATGAAACACACAGAAGGTGACACACGGATGCCTTCTCCTGGGGGGGGGGGGCAACCTTTTCTAAACTTTAGGAATGCATGGGTGGAAGAGGGGTGGAGGAAGTTAAGCAAGACCTTACCTTCCGCAATCGACGGGACCCAGGCGGGAGCATCGGTTCACCCCCAGGTCCACCCTCAATCTCTGTACTGTACACGTACACATATCACAGCATACTGCCCCTACTGGATTGAAATAAATAGCTCCAGACTTTGCTTTTCGCTCAGTGCTGTCCGCATTTTTCTTTCCTCCCCTTATTTCACTCTTTCTTTCGCATGCCCAGCTGCTCAAGAAGTTCACAGTTCACGGGAACGGTACGACAATGAAAGAAGAAATAGGGGACTGTCTAAAAAGAGGTGTTTCGTGGAAGTCAACAGACAGAACGGCATCTAGCAGTCCAAGCACCTACAGTCGAGCGGGCTGCAGAGTGACGCGGAGACGCGGGGCCGACTGTACTGTACACTCTACCGCCGTAGGAGCTGGAGCCGTAGGTACGGCACGCGGCAAGGCGCGGGAGGGGCGGGGCGGGGCGGGGCCGCGCGGGCAGGCCAGCATGAGGTTGCCGTGCGATGACCCGCACTTGGGCGTGGGGGCGTGGCGAGGCGGTGCCCGAGGACCGTGGCGGCGCGAGGCGGTGGGCGCGCAGCTCGGGGACGCCGTGGACGTGCCTCCGTGTCTCCAGCTCACGGCAGCCGCGGTGGCGGGGCGGGGCGGCGGAGCGGCAAACTAGATTGGAGACACGTACGTGTGTCGGTGCGTCTGTCCGACCGCCTGTCCGCCCCCCGCGACATCTGCGCGCCTCGGCACGCCTCAGACCCGGAAAGGTGATCTTAATGCCGGCGGCGTCCCCATGCACGTCTCCGTTGTGACTGTGCCCCCTCCATCTACAGCCCCCCCCCCCCACCCCCTCCCGGCCGGGGCGGGCCGGCAGGCGCCGCGGTCCACGTCGGGCCCGCGAACACGCTATGTGGGCAGGGGTAGGCCGGGCGCGAGCCGAGCCCAGCCGAGCCGGGCCGGGCCAGGCCGAGCCGGGCCGGGGCGGGCCGGGCCGGGCTGCTGCAGCGGGCCCAGCTAGCCCAGCCCGTTCGCCAGTCCGTCCTCGGCTCTCGCACCCGAAGGTCGCCCGCGAGAGTAACCTAGCTTATTTGCGAGGTGTTTGTGTTTTATTTGTGTGACAGTGCCAAAGGGTCGCGCGCTTCCATCACCCTGTCCGCGCGAGTGCAAAGTGTGTGTTTTGTGAGTGTGTGTGTGTGTGTGTGTGTTTGTCAGTGAGTGTGTTCGAGTGCCTGTGTGAGTGCGGCGTCGCCATGACGTCCAAGCTCCGCCGCGCACCGCTGTTCACGTACAACGACATGGGCACCCGCTGCCTCGCCGCCTCCTTCGGCGGACCCTCGCCGACGGCCCCTGCCCCCGGCGGCGCCCACCCCGGCCAGCTCCAGGCCCACCAGGGCCACCAGGGGCACCCCGCCGGTCCGCACAACGGGCAATCCGCGGGGCACCACGGCCACCAGGGACACCCTGGATACGGCCACCACCAGCAGCAGCACCAGCAGCAACACCAGCAGCAGCACCAGCAGCAGCACCAGCAGCAGCACCAGCAGCAGCACCAGCAGCACGGATACTCAGGACACAGGGAGGCTCCGCCGCCACCACTGCCGCTCAAGGTACGTCATCTCAAAGTTTTCTTGAGTAACTGTATAGAATATTTTATATTCTATCCGATATTACAATATTATTGTCAGACGGTTTGGTTTCGGCTTTGACCTATAAGATCAATAAGGTAATCTACATTTCGGGAGATGAAAAAATATCTATCGGCGCCGTTCATCTCGCTGGCTGGCTGGCGCGCGCCGCGGCCGGTACGGAGGCCGGAGGGTGGCGCCTCCAATGGCATGACAATCGGCGGGGCGGGCGGGGCGCGTGTCCAGAGCTAATGGTCGCCGTCCAGCCCGCCGGCGCCTCCCGGGGAAAGCGCGCCCGCCTCGGCGCCCGGCCCGGCCAGGCCCGCGCTGGACAGGACGGGGCCAGGCCGACTGGAGGGCCCGACGAAAAGAGCCTTCCGTCGGCAGGAGAACCCCCCGGGGCTCCGCTCGGGGGCGCGGCAGGGCAGGGCGGAAAAGGGCCAAGTCGCGCAGGCGAGTGGCGGGGCGCGGCTGTAAGAATTTATGCACCAAGGACAGAGAGAGAAAGAAAGAGAGATATTTTTTGAAACAAAGATTTTAAACATGCATTGTTATGATTTTATTGGGGATCATGGGAGATGGTTAAATCTCAAAGAAGATAAACGCCTGTAGGTTAGGCAAAATGTAGCGGTGGGGTACACCGGGGATGAGCGGGTGGCCTACCCTCAGGCCGGCAGGCGTTCAGCTCGGTATGACCGCAGGTCAGGCAGGGGTTGTCAGCGACGAACGGACGGACGGACGGACGGACGGACGGATGGACGGACGGACGGATGGACGGACGTACGGACTAAAAGACAGAGAGACAGACAGACAGACAGACAGACAGACAGACAGACAGACAGACAGACAGACAGACAGAGAGACAGAGAGACAGAGAGACAGACAGACAGACAGACAGACAGACAGACAGACAGACAGACAGACAGACAGACAGGGCGATAACCGGGCCGGTCCGCTCATTAATGCCGCCGCATTATTCCGCGTGTGCCGCGGAGTTGGGCCTGGCGCGCCGCTCCTGGAGCCTGGAGCTTGTCCTGGAGTCCTGGAGCCGCCGGCTGGAGAGCGAGAGAGACAGAGAGAACCCGCTGCTGCTGGAGCCCCGCCTTCCTCCACACTACAACTTCTCATTCTTGTCTTGTATTTTTTTGTTTTTTTCCTCACCGCCCCGGTGTCGTTGGCGGAGGCGCGGCGCCGAACGAGTTCCCACGGGGACACCAGCCTAATGGCACGGTCCCCCAGCGGTCCCCGACGGTCCCGTCGGGGGGCGTGTGGCTGGTCCTGTTATCCGGGGCCTCATCAGGAGCCGGGGCGCGGCCGAGGCCCCCGACACCTTGTTCACCACACTCTAACGACCGGGGGGCCCGGGCGGGGCGGCCCTATGGGCGCGTGGTCCGGTCCGGTGTTGACACCCACTGACAACCCACTGACAGGCCGAACAGCTGACACGCGGACGGCCTTGTCAGCAGGGCAGCAGCAGCAGCGGCGCCACCGCGCGGCCGCTGTCGTGGTGACCGCTGCAACGGGACCCCGCCGCCGCGGCCACCGCCTGTCTGTCGTCGGGTGTCTCGCGGTGACTGCCGCGGCCGCCGTCGTGAGGGACTTGAACGCGAGGAGGAACGCAAGGTGGAGGAAGGGCGAGAGGTAACGGGAGGCACGTCGTCGGGACGTCGCGCACCGCACTCTGCGGTCATGGCGGCACATCGCCCAAAACAACGAAGGAAAAGAGCAAGCCGCGGCGATGTAAGGAAGAAAAAAATAAAAAGAGGAAGAGCAGGAATCTCACAGGAGGAGAAGAAGAACTTCTATCTGGGCAGCACAATGGTGCCATGATGATGGGATGGGCCGGGTGAGGCGGTGGGGGGCACATATCGCGGCGGGAAAAGTCACACGCGCGGCCGCGGTGCCGCGGAGGGAGGGCCCGGGCCGGGCCGTGCGTAGGGACCCCGGCAGGCAAGAGGAGATGGAAAAGAAATAAAAGAAATGGCACAACACAAGAATTCGATGCGGAAGAGCTGCTGCTGCTGCGGCGGGCGCGCTCGTGGCGCCGCCGCGGTGGCGCACGAGGCCCGCGCGGAGCCGCTGATAGGGCAGGGCCGGGTAAACAGGAAGGAAATGAATGGGCGAATGAATGAATTAGAGAGCGAACGTGTACGGCGCGGCAGGGCAACCGAATGGCACGAGTGGGGCGGGTACAGGGTGCAGAGCCCTGCGCCGAGCGAGATGACCGAGCGAGCGAACGAACTTATGGCGCTAGCGAGCAAGACCCCTTCTTCGACATGCGAGATGATGATGTAGGTGGCCATTCAGCTCCGTAGCTCGCTCTCTGCAGGGCTCTAGAACAAGGTGTGGCGTCGTATACGAGACGGGAGCGCCTCGGCGAGGTCCTTGAAGAGGTCCTGACAGGGCTACTCGGCCTTGCAAGGGCGGTAGGTTAGGGCCTTCGACGCCGCTCAGCTTGCAGCTCCAGGTCCTTTGCTGTAGCTAGGACCCCAGGCGATGGTTATGGTCGCGTGGGAAATCGCCCGCCCCGCCCGCCTGCCCCACCGCCGCAACCACCGCGCCTCTCGGCCCGGCAGACCAACCGGCCGGCCGGGGCGTGGTGGGGCGTGGTAGGGCGTGGAGGGGCGGGGCGGGCCCGGAGGTGGGTCGCTGGGCCGAGTAACAGGATGGGAGAAACAATGAGTCCGTCCCTACTGCCGCCCGCTACCGCTTCCCATCACAGCGGCAGCCGGGGCGGACCGGGATGACATGTCACGTTGCAGCGGCCGTGTGTCGCCCCACATGTGGGGTACGTTTGGCCGTCGTCGAGTTGGCCGGGCGGCTCACGCTGTCATATCCACCCGCGAGAAGGCACAATGGTGACCCCGTGATCACTGCAATGAGGGATCACGCAAAAAGTACGTGCCCTTCGGTTGCCGTTATACAACAAAACCGACAAGTTCGGCCAACGCAAGCACTCCTAGCGCCTGATGGGTAGGCAAACATTTCGCCTGCGATGCATGCGTGTATTGCGGGGTGGCCTACCCCGAGTCTCGCAGGCGCCGAGCTCCGTGCTCTTCCTCAAAGATGCAAAATATTCGAGAAGTTAGATCTTTGTAAAATGACCGTGAATCACAGCAACAAAATGATAGGTGTGGTTGTGGAGTTTGCTCTCGCGTGTCCCTTCTGCCGCACACACGCATCGCGTGAGGCGAGGCGGTCACACGTGAAGTGACACGTGTGTGTGGAGGGGGGGGGGGGGCGCTCGCCGGTAGCGCCCTCACCACGAGGGGGCCTGTTGGCCGGCCTGCGCCCGGTGGCACCCGAGTGGCACAGCAGCGCACCGACACCCGGCGCGGCACACCAGAGGGGCACCGGAGCGGCCCGGTGGCGGGTCCGAGACAATGACCATTGTTGCACTCCCATTATTCGAACGGACAAATATCATTCATTGCAGCGCGGTGCGGCGGCGGTCCTCAATGAGACGTGTCGACCGTCTCCGCTCTACACCGCAAACAGACACCTGCGGCGGGCGGCAGCAGCACTGTCCTTGCAGGCACTGTCTTTAATCAACTCGTAAAAATGGTTTAAACGTCGGCATAGTCGTTAAACTTTGCAAGGGGAATGAGAAAATATTCAGCTGCACTCTAAATGTCGGGGGAGGGGGGATTTTCTACACTGCAGGATGCAAATTTGAATCTTATTGATTGATTAGTGACAGATTTGTGTTTAGACCTATTTACATTTCGTCCAATTGAGGCAACAGATTTGTCATGTCACTATATAGGGTTCAAAAGTGCATCTTACAAGATGTATACACACAGCAGACCTTGCAATGGACAAAGAATACGTCCCTTTGACATTTACATTGTGGGTTGGTATTTTGGAACCTATATAACTACAGTTGCTGTTAAAAAGTTTTTTGATTCGCGCGGAATGCTGGCCACAAAACCACATCATTACACCAAGCGGCGAGCAGCTCCTTGGCGGTGCGTGTTTTTCAGCTGTGCGCGTGTGTTTCCCCCTCTGGAATCAGCTGATTGCCGCCATCGGCACGGGGAACAACTCATGCCCATCCTCATTGCCCCCCGCCTCCGGGCGCCTCCTCCGGGCGTCTCCTCCGGGAGCCTCTGCCTTGTTCGCCAACATCGCCGCCCGCCGTGGCGCTGCTCTGGCCCACTGCTGGTCCGGCCGGCGGCGGCGGCGGCTCGCAGCGGGGCCTCCTCCTCCGGTAATGAGGAACCGTGGAGCAATAATACGTGATTCATTTTTAACGGGGTGAACGAAAAATCCAGGTGCAGAAGCAGGAGGAGGAGGAAAAGGAGGAAGAGAGACGCGTTCCGAAACTGCTGCGGCGGGCGGGGCCCTGCTGCGGGGCGCGGCGCTGCAGCCGGCGGCACGGCCCCCCTCCGCACGCAGCCCGTCCCGTCCCGGCCCGGGGCCCGGGGCCTCTGGCACCCCGCACCGTTACGCCGGTGAAGCGCGGCAGGGCCGCAGCAGCCGAGAGGTACCTGCGCGTGTTGGGCTGTGAGCCGAACGCTGATTGGACCGAGGAGCCTTCTCCGGAGGATAAGCATAAAAAAAAGCTGTTCGCATCCCGCTTGGAAAGAGTTAATAGCGTACCCGGGTAAGAAGTCACCCACTCCCTGCTGCTGCTGAACCCCCCTGCCAGCCTCCTCCTCCTCCGGCCTCTCAAGCATGCCACCCGCGCACCCCGCCCCACCGGCGCAGCAGTAGGGCGGGGTCGCGCATACCGTGCAGTATGAGTTCCCTTACAATGGGGGAAAAAAGAAAGATTTGCATGTTCCTCGGTGGGACCCGCTCGTGCCGCGCTATCCTGACTGCTATCCCCGCGCCTGCCCGCCCATGTGGGAGTGCGCCACAAACGAGGGGAAAACGGGCGTTACTGTCCCGCGCCCTTTTCCAGGCTAAAAAAATAAATATGAAAACGCGTCCAGATAACGAGGCGCGCGGCAAATTTAAATGTAAAGCAGACACTAAGT